GGGGGGGGGGGGGGCAGGCCTAAAGCTGTGTAACAGGCCCCAAAATTCTTCCTGCTGTGTCCAATTCCTCATGCTGTGCCCAGTTCTTCCTGCTGTGTCCCGTTCCTCCTGCTGTGTCCCGTTCCTCCTGCTGTGTCCCATTCTTCTTGCTCTGCTCTGTTCCTCCTGCTGTGCTCTGTTCTTCCTGCTGTGCCCCGTTCCTTCTGCTGTACGCCATTCCTCCTGCTGTATCCCATGCCTCCTCTGCTGCCCCGTTCCACCCATTGTGCCCCATTCCTCCTGCTGTGCTCCCTCTTCTCCCAGCGGTAGAAAGCCAGCGTCAAGTCTCCCATCCAGCAGATGGGAGCAATAGTCAGCCGGCTATTTTAAATTGCAGTAGCCAATAGCAGGCTGGCTATTGCATCCGCCCACTGACAATCAGCAGAGGAGGACCTGAAGGAGTAGGCAGCAGTCATTCCCCAGTGAAGTGGAACGGTGACACTAGGGGGTCTAATAGATGCAATGAGACATGTGCGATTAGTTTCGGAAAGATTCAGGTTTCGGAAGAATGTTTGGAAATTCGTACATTCTGATGCATCCGGACTTCCAAATGACAGAAATAACGAATGCAAACGAATACGAATTTCCCATAACCAAAATTTCGGATCTATCTGAATTTCTTTCCCGAATGAAGCTTTATTGTGTAAAGCATCAACTTCAAAAAATTCCTACCAGACCCTTGATCCAAGCACAGGCCTGGCAGGACAGGGGGGCTTATTTGCATTGGGGTACCCCTTTAATTAAGGCCGCCCCCCATTGAATGAGTAAGGGGTACCTGTATTTCTACTTATTCACTAAAGGGTTAAAAGTAAATGTAAATAAAGAGACCACACTTTTTGAAAAAGTCCTTTAATTGCAAAAAAAGAAAACAGTCAGTTGTTGACAATTCCTTTATTTAAACAAAACAAAAAACGGTTCCATCGATGTAACCCAGCGTCAATCACGATGGCCGACGCCCACCGACGAAGACTATCTATCATCTATCTATATTTAGTCCAATTTCGGTATGTTATTTTAAATAAAAGTTTGGCTATTTTATTATATTGGTTGGAGTCTTACAATTCATATTATTTTAAATCCATGAAACTAAGAAAATAGTCTCATATAATAAACACAATTATTTTAAAAAAATATATAAAAAAAGTGGGAAAAGTAAGTTTGGAGTTTCGGCCTGATACATGATACACATAAGAGTAGCATGGAGCATGGCACTTGGATACATATGGGAGCAGCATGGTACTGACATTGTAACTGAAATCTAGCACTAAATACAGCATTTGCTTGTACTGACACATGCAGAAGTATGGGGAACTCTGATAGTACATAGAAACATGTAGAGGACATGGTCATATAGCACTCAGGCACATGTAAGAGACGGTGTAATACAGAACTCAGACACAAACAGAGCAGACAAAATATCAGGGTACACAGAGACTTTTAGAGTACGGGGTCATACTAAACTAAAAGACATGGAGAGGATGGAATCATATGGAACTCAAACACATGGAGATGATGGAGTAACAGCACTCGGGAGTCATATGGCATTTAGATACATGTAGAGGACAGTTCAATGGCTAAGACACATGCAGTGATCAGAGGGTCTGTCTCCAATATACATGGAGCAGGGATCAGAGGGTCTGCATCCTGTACACATGTAGTAGTGGTGATCCCAGTGTCTGTCTCCTGTACACATGTAGTAATAATCGCACTGTCTGTCTCCTGTACAAATGTAGTAGTGATCGCACTGTGTCTCCCATACACATGTACTGTAGTAGTGGTAATTAGTTTCTGTCTCCTGTACACATGTAGTAGTAGTGATCGCAGTGTCTGTCTCCTATTCACATTTAGTAGTGATGATCGCACTGTCTGTCTCCTGTACAAATGTAGTAGTGATCACACTGTCTCCTGTACACATGTAGTAGTGGTGTTTGCAGTGTCTGTCTCCTGTACACATGTAGTAGTGATCGCACTGTTTGTCTCCTGTACACATGTAGCAGTGATCACACTGTCTGTCTACTGTACACATGTAGTAGTAGTGATCGGAGTGTATGTCTCCTGTACACATGTAGTAGTAGTGATCGGAGTGTATGTCTCCTGTACACATGTAGTAGTAGTGATCGGAGTGTATGTCTCCTGTACAAATGTAGTAGAAGTGATCGGAGTGTCTGTCCCCGGTACACATGTAGTAGTAGTGATCGGAGTGTATGGTTCTTGTACACATGTAGTAGTAGTGATCGGAGTGTCTGTCTCCGGTACACATGTAGTGGTGATCGGAGTGTCTGTCTCCTGTACACATGTAGTAGTAGTGATCGGAATGTATGTCTCTTGTACACATGTAGTAGTAGTGATCGGAGTGTATGTCTCCTGTACACATGTAGTGGTGATCGGAGTGTCTGTCTCCTGTACACATGTAGTAATGGTGTTTGCAGTGGATGAATGGCTCTCCTCCAGCTCAGGCACACTGGCACTCTGGCAGCACCCAGACACATGAAGCGTGTAAGCTGAGAGCTGGCTCCGCCCTCCCGCTTGCTGGAGTTTCGCTCGAGCCCGGTAGCGCTGCACCACAGGTCCTGGTAGAGCCGTAGAGCACCTCGGGGAGAATTCCGGTGTAATTATCGCTGCGCTCCGCCATTCATGACCGGTTTAGTAAACCCATGCAGATGATGTGCTGTGATCCGTCCGTTCTCCTTTCTGTGCTCCGGTAAGAAATCAGCCCGTATTGCTCTGACAGGACCGTGCGCGGCCGCTGTGTCCGAGAAGGAGGAGTGATTCGGTCAGATCCGTAGATCCGCCGACGCGCACACCCCACTGCCGGGGACACGGCCACCTCCAGGGATATGATAGTCGGGCCGCAGTGAGGCGACGCCTCGGGCCTCAGCTCCGGACTGAGCGGAGAAAGGAAGCAGAGGAGGTGGGGGTGTACAAAATGGCGGACTCTGCGCGGATCCTGCCCGGCTGACTCCGGAGGGACTCTGAGCTTCGCCGTACGGAAATCAGGACTGACGGTGTGCGGAACTAAGAGCGGGGCGGAAGCTACCGGGAGCAGCGTGTATACGGTGAGTGTGGGCGGCAGGCTGTATGGAACCCGGGGCCTGTGTGATGGGGGGAGACTCTTCCCGGTGAAAGGGTGGGGGGGGGGGACTTTGCCCGGTGATTGGGAAGGGGTGTGCGACTCTACCAGTCAGCCGATTCCCGGTGGCAGCCCAATGTGTCATGTATCTCATGATCGGATTGTTTTTTTGCAGGAATTGCTTTGTCCATACATAAACACATTCCTGGGCTCCTTTGTAGTAGACATGTCCCAGGGAAGCTGAATTGGGGTGCTATGGTGTAGTAGATGTGTCCTTGTGAAGCTGAATTGGTGGCTGAGGGATAGTAGACCTGTCCCAGGGAAGCTGATTTGGGGTCCTATGGGGTAGTAGACCTGTCCCATGTAGACATGTCCTTGTGAAGCTGATTTGGGGTGCTATGGGGACCTGTCCCAGGGAAGCTGATTTGGGGTGCTATGGGGTAGTAGACCTGTCCCAGGGAAGATGATTTGGGGGTGCTATGGGGGTAGTAGACCTGTCCCAGGGAAGCTGATTTGGGGTGCTGTGGGCTAGTAGACATGTTCAAGGGATGCTGATTTGGGGTGTTATGTGGATAGTAGACATGTCCTTGTGAAGCTGGATTGAGGTGCTATGGGGGTAGTAGACATGTCCTGTGGAAGCAGAATTGGGGTGCTGTGGGCTAGTAGATGTCCCAGGGAAGCTGATTTGGGGGTGCTGTGGGCTAGTAGACATGTTCCAGGGAAGCTGATTTGGGGGTGCTGTGGGCTAGTAGACATGTCCCAGGGAAGCTGATTTGGGGGTGCTGTGGGCTAGTAGACATGTCCCAGGGAAGATGCTTTGGGGTGCTGTGGGCTAGTAGACATGTCCCAGGGAAGCTGCTTTGGGGTGCTGTGGGCTAGTAGACATGTCCCAGGGAAGCTGCTTTGGGGTGCTGTGGGCTAGTAGACATGTCCCAGGGAAGCTGCTTTGGGGTGCTGTGGGCTAGTAGACATGTCCCAGGGAAGCTGCTTTGGTGCTTTGGGGTGTGGGGGGATAGTAGACATGTCCCAGGGAAGCTGCTCGGGGGTGCTGTGGGCTAGTAGACATGTTCCAGGGAAGCCGCTCTGGGGTGCTGTGGGCTAGTAGACATGTTCCAGGGAAGCTGCTCTGGGGTGCTGTGGGCTAGTAGACATGTTCCAGGGAAGCTGCTCTGGGGTGCTGTGGGATAGTTCAAATGTCTGTTTTAAGGTGTTTTCAGGGTGCTATGGGGTGGTAGACATGTTGGTGAAGCTGATTGGGGTGCTTGCCTGTAATACGCCCAGGTGGGACACATACCCATAGGAAATAATGGGATTTCGGTGTTTGAGCGTTTTGCAGAGCGTAGGAACGCGCTACAAAACGGCCAGGTGTGAACCAGGCCTTAGTTTCACACTTGTTGATTGGATCCCATTCAAAAACTATGTGAAAGTTGTGTGAATGTTGTTTGAGGGCCAATTCACACCTCTGCAGTGTTTTGCGGGAACAAATTCATTATGACAATGTACGTTACCACTTTTTAGGTTACATTTACTTTGAATGATACCGCAACACACAAATAGATCCGCTGTGACACATGCTTTACATCGCCAAGTCGCATGCTGCTGTGCGTGGTGGTGCTCTGTGTTGCAAAAAAAGGCATCTGTCTGTTTTTGTTTTGCATTGTTTAGTGTGTTGGCACATTAATTTGATGGGGCCGCCTTAACGCAACCCCACACTCTGCATGGGCCCTAAATAAATAAATAGACCCCTGGGTGTCCATTTGCGCTTGAAGCTTTCCCTCCTGTGAAAACTGCGCCTAAAGCATGGTGAGACCTGTCGCATTGCGCCCCGTGTTATGCTTCGTATCTTGGTGTGTTTTTTATTTTAAAGTCCTGCATTCTGCAGTTTCCCTGCCCTTACCCACAGCCCATTCACGCTTAATGGGGACTCTCGTGCAGTTTTGACTGCAGCTTGTTCATTAGTATCTTTATTGTTTTCTCATTAAAGCATGAAAATGGGAATAAAATATGTGCAACCCAAGAAAATGGGGCAGAAATTGCAGATGGGTCTGTTCAGATGCGGCCGCTGTGCCCAGTTAGTTGAATGACAGCGGATGCATCGGTGGCTGTCATATACAGAATGATTACCTTGGATTCGGGATAGATGATTGTCCCGGGACGCAGAAATATTACATCCAGGAACAAATATCTATCCCAATCCGCAGGTAATCATTCCATATACAGCAGCCACCGATGCGTCCACGGTCACCCTGTCATTCACTTGAATGGGCACAGGGGCCACATTTATACAAACCGTCTGGGTTTCCAGCCGCAAGAATCCGTAGGCTCTTGTTGTAGTGTCCCCAGACACGCATAAAAAGCCTGTGTGCATGAGGCCTTAAACCTTGGTTTCTAGCATGCGTTTCTATGCAAGGGTGACGTCACAAGGCCTTTTTATGGGATCCAGGGAAACCTGGGGATCCTATATCCCAGGAGATTGTGTCCTTGTACAGTGCTGGAGCATTGTTTTGTAAGATTTGGCTTCCTGAGCTTTCCTAGGATCTTGCACTGTGGCCCAGTGATATCACTGGCATCTATGGGAAGCCAGGTTGTAAGGAAAGTTATACTTTAGATAAGGGCTTCTTCTTCTTTTTTTTTTTTTTTTGAGGGCTGTAATAAGAAAATTGTTCCCATACTGGGGCCCAAGAAGAAATTTTCTATCAAAATTTCAGAAAGCCAAAGAAAGACATTTAGAGGGTTTCTAAACCCAACAAGCAGTAGATATATGTAAAAAACAAATAAAAAAAACAACCCGCTTCAGCACTTACCTTAAATGATGTCTCTTAATCTGATCTTCTTTCCTGATGTTTTCATCTGTCCCTCCAGCGGTGCGGCGGCTCTCCGATCCAGCGCTGACTCCTCTCTGCTTACAGGTGCTACCGATCCAGCGGTGTCTGCATGCAGGTGTACGCGTCCATAGACTTACCTTGCGTCTCTGCTCGTCTCCCAGCCGAGAATCCGAACTGCGCATGCGCCCGCCCCAAGATGCTTTGCGGCCGCCTGAGCAGTTTCGTTTTCTCGGACGGGAACACGCAGCGAAAACAGGGTAAAAGTTTAAACCGCTGTTAAAGCGGGGTTTAAAAAAAAAACTTTTTGCCTTCATCTACTGCTTGCTAGCAGTAGATAAAGGCAAAAAAAACGCAGGCTTTAGAACCCCTTTAGGGTAACTGCTTTAACATTGGGGGGAGGGAAAAAAAGTGACTTTAATGTCACTTTAACAATCGGTGGTGGGAGGGCGGGGGGAGTTCTGCATGTGACAACCATTGCAGAACATTGCCTAAACTGGTGGTATGATGCTACACGCAGCTGCTGGCTGAATCTGCCTCATCCTTCCATGGTCAAAACGCTCCCTGGAAATCAGAGGACGTTCTTAGAAAGCTGTCTCCTGTCCGTACAACAAATGGCGCAGATTGTGAAAGATTCATGAATTTGGTGCTGGACTTTCTAATGCAACCATAACGCCAGAAAAGTGTCAGAGTTTATTGAAACGCTTCCAATTTTTTTTTTTTTAAAAGCTTTCTGCCTCACTATAAAAAGAGTTTTCTGGTTTTCCATGCGGTGCGTGTTTTGTTATACAATGTCTTTTTAGCTTGTTGCATTTAGGATTTTCATTACGACTTTTATTAAGAAGTTACCCACACCGAACACATTCAGGGAATTCCATATCGCATTTGCACCAAATTCTAAAACATGCTGTGCCATTATCCCCTGAGCCAAATTCAGGTAGTTCTTATTTGTGCCTTATTTCATTCTGGCGCTGTGCTTTATGACATATTCAATAAATAAACTCGGATAGTTCAGTAATAAGAAAAGTGATGCAAGGTAAGACCAAGTACTTTTTCAGAGTTACTGTTGTAATGTTCATATTGTATATGTTTGTCGCAGTTTTCAAGACACACCTCAGGTGCCGCATTCCTTAAAACTGAGGGTCCAAATCTGTCTGACGAATATGTGACACTTTGGACAGAGATGTGACACAATGTGCATATGTCTTTCCCAAAGTTTGTCTCACAAGCCAGCTCCAGTTCCATAAGTTTGCACCAAATTCATGAGTGATATGCAAGTTTGTAAATGAATTTGGCATAATAATGATACCATTTCTGTATCCCTGAGACACTTTCCTTATGTGCCTCAACCACATTCTTTTTGAACTCTCCTGATTATGGGCTCTCCTCTCCATTTCTGCAAGCTTCAGTAAAGCCAAGAGAGATAACATTAGTAGTAGACCTTTCTGACTAGCGCCCGGGTCATTCAACTCTTCATGTCGTAATCTTGTCTGTAGTTGCTCACCCCCACCTCACGTGCCCTAGCTCCCTGTACATGTCTGAGCTGTCATTCATAGTCCGTGTGCCAGCACTCGCCATTGATCTGCTAATTTTGTACTTGGTCACGAATGGCACCAATCCCAAAGATGTTGGTAACCTGTTTGGTTCCAGACCTATAGTTTACAGCAGATCTCTGGGCAAACCAAAAAAAAAACTACCCTTGCAGTGGGGCTATCCCTGCACTGCAAGGGTTAACTGCTTGTTTATGCCTCGGGGACTGGGGTAAAGCACTTTTACGTACCTGATTTCCCCCTGCGGTCTCTTCCCTTCCACTCCGAATGTCCCTTGGTTCCATAGACCTGCATTAGCCATGATGACGTCAGTGGTCCTTAGACCACCGGGGAGAAGAGGCTGCAGGGACTGCTCGATCAGCCCGGAGGGAATGGGGAGAAGGTAAGAAACAGATTTTTGCTGTCCCCTTGGCATAAATGTGCAGTTAACCCTTGCAGTGCACGGATACACACTGCAAGTAGTTTTTTGGTTTGCTCCGAGACACTTTAAAGGAGAACTATGGGGTTAAGGCTTTTCCCCATAGTTCTCCTTAGGGTAACGGGAGGACACAAACTAGCGTCCTCCCGTCACCCTAGGCTGAGTATACCGTGAGCTGTAGCTCGCGGTATACTGA